ATTATCGGCAACGTATTTTGTAGTGTCGAGTCATATAATAAATGCAAAGATACTATCTATAAATCTCCTGATTACAAGTCACTGTTAATGACACAGTCCCCGTCTAAAATTTTGTGATCTGACATATCAATTTGATGCTGATGAAGTCATTGAGATTAGATCGAAACCATTAATAAGAGATGGATGTGTAAAAAATATATGAGTTAGTGCTTTTACACGAGAATTGGACATTGGGCAGTCATATTGAATCAAATTACAAAAAATAATGTTCATGTTGATGTATCTATTGGTATACTGTCTTTGTACAAAATTATAACAGAAATGTTCATTGCATTGAAGGGAAAGTAGGCATGGGTATCATGAAAAACAAAATGGCCACCAGTCAGTCATATTAGTTTGAATCACAGAAAAAATATGACATGCAACTATAACCCAATATGTATGATCATCATACCAACTTTGATCCAAATTGGCCTAGTCATTACTGAGAAACAGCTCCGGACATGTAAAAATGACGATTTAACGCTTTTACAGGGAATTTGGGCGTCGGTCAGCTATATTGAATCGAATTACAAAAATAACGTTGGTGCAAATGTATCCCTTGGTATACTATCTTTGTACAAAATTTAAAGAGAAACGTTCATTGCATTCAAGAGAAAGTAGCATGGGTACCATGAAAAACAAACTGGCCGCCAGTCGGCCATATACTTATGGCTTATACGAATTATATTTATATTCTGGAAGGCGAGATATCTTTGTCTAACCGTTTTAATTTATCAGTTTATCCTGTGCGACGAAGTGTTCAACAAATTCGGAATGACTGAGCTGCGTTAATACATATAGTTAATTTATTCGTTTCAATAAACTGGTGGCGCGCAAAATAGTAAGGTTTTATATGAACATACAGAGGCATGTATACTAAAGCTGTTTCTAAACAAAGAAAGTCATGGTAGCTGATGACAAACGAGCAAGTTTACCCACCACGCATGTACCACTTGATAATTAAATCACCGTATACATCAATGTGACATGTTTACTTAATTACGCCAGTTTCACATTTATACTTTAAATGTTGGGTTGCATACAGTGGGTTGTGCCAAAGACATCAGAAAATGTAGTTTCTAGTGTCTTTGGTTATAACTATTTAAGACATTTGAGATACTGTAATTTCATAATTGCATTCAACAACAAAAATGCATCACAATACAGTTGTAAATTCTTATGTTAATTTCATGTAACAATACACTGTTCAAAGTACTGTACGTACGTGCGACAACAGCAATACAACAGAGTTTATAGCGAATTTACGACATAACACTAATCATGACTTGTGTATACTTGTCAGGATGATCAGATTTTGTTAGACAGTCTTGTTTACCCCATGTAATTGAATTACTAAACTACTTGTGCCGACTACACTCAAACTGTGTGCAACCATAGACAAGTGGTAGGAAGGTCCATTAGTTCCCGTAATGACCCGGGATAAACACTAAAACTGAATGTTAACACAGGAACAATAAGATCAGCGCATACCCGAACTACAAGTATATTCAGTATTACCTGTTCCTGACCACGCACACATAATTAGAATCAATTTCTTTCAATAATTTTGTTTATATTTTCACTAAAAAAAGTTGGCATGACTTGCACATAGAAATTAATAAACTACAAACTTGGAATTATTTAAATACTTTACTCATATAATTGAAGGACAAATTATTAAATTGATACGAGAAGGGCGATAACAGATATTTCTTGGGCCTTGAGAAGGCTAATAAGAAACAATCATGTATTAAACAACTCGGGAAATCAACCAAAAACAATTGTAAATCAATCAAACAATTTTATTCAAATCTGTACATGGAAGAAAATTTAAATGAAAACAAAAGGAGATGAGTTTTTGGAAAACCTGGAGACCCAACAATTGTCAATACAATCTCAGAATGTTTGTGAATGGACATTGTCCATAGGCGAAGTATAAAAGTATAAAAGAAAAAGCCAAAAAATGATGGATTGACCATCAAATTTTATAACGCCTATAGTGGAAATGGTGGTTGATTCTTTTAATTATGCTATTGAGAGGGATGAGTTTTCACAGAATCGCAGGAACAGAGTATGATTACTTCAATTGAGAAACCAAAACAAACTATATCTGAAAAATTGGCACCAAATTTTATTAAAGAATGTAGAAGTAAAACTTGCTTCAAAAAGTCTGGCAAATCATCTGGAACGTTTCTTCCTAAGGAGATCTACACAGGTGGCAAACTGATAACATTTTCCAATTTACCAAGAAATCAGATCTAAAGCTTTTACTCTTCGCCATTGATTATGAAAAGGCCTTCAATATGGTCATTTTTTTCAAAGTTTTAAATAAATTTAAAATTGGGCATAATTTTCAAACTTGGATTAAAACACTTTATAACAAAATTGATGGCTATGTAATGAACAAAGGTTTTCTAACTGGATATTTTAAAGTATAAAGAGGGGTAGGACTAGCTGATGCTTTCACCAATGCTATTTGTTTTAGTCTTAGAAATGCTAATAATAACAATTAAGACAAACACAAATAATTCAGGCATTACTGTTTTGAGGACAGAAATCAAAGTGGCTGCATTTACAGATGATATATGTTTCATGTCAGACACTAAATCAACAAGAGTGTTGTTTTCGTTGATTGATGTATTTCATGGATGCTCAGGGTTCAAATTAAATCAGAAAAAAACTGAGGGAGCTTCGCTTGGGAAGTGGAGGGACAGAATGATGTGATGTTTGTGGTAAAATGGCTCACCTGGCGAGATCAAGATTGTAGAAATCTAATTCTCATTCAAAAAAGAAGAGAACTATATGAAAAACATGAAAACTATACTTAACCAATAGTAAAGAAGGAAATTATCTTTATTTGGTATAAAAAAGACATTTGGTATGTCATAATTTACATAAATTCTTACCTCAATGTCAATTAAAAAAGCAATTCAGGAAGTTCATATAATAATTTACAAATGTTTATGGGATGGGATACTGTAAAATACTTTATTTTCGCTTGGAATTTATTTTCGCTGTAGGAATGAGTCAGTGAAAATAAAATCCGGTGAATATACCTTTTTTCCTATATTTTACATTCATCTTGTCAAAAATCAGTAAAAATAAATTCCATACAAAATACCTAAAATGTCTTTTCAGTGAAAATTAATTCCAGCTAATATACAGTATTCTACAGTAGATAAAATTGCGAGACATTCAATGATCGGGGGAGGAGGCCTAAATGTACCAAACATATCATGAACAAGATTATATGGATAAAATGCTGTTTAGACCCAGATATTTAACATAAATGGAAGATGCTTCTAGATATACAACTCCAACCGATTGGTGGGAATCTTCTAATCTTCAGCTGTGTTTACAAAACAAGTATGATGCTGGTGCGGTTGAGTGACTTTGTCAATGAATCTTCAGATACTTGGGAGGGGGAAATAAAATCTCACTGAGAGAATACAAATGATATGGAACAACGAGAAAATATGGATGGGCAATAATATGATATGTTTTGAAGACTTCAGGCAAAAAGATATATTGAGAGTGTCAGATCTTTTTAATGGATATGATCTGATCCCCTGGCAAACCATAGGCCAAGATAATCTCTCCTTGTTACAAAAACTTAAGTTGTTTAGGACTGGTCTCAGAATCATAACAGTTCAGTGTAAAAAAGCAGAATAAATATCTCCTTACTCTGTAGAAATCCCAGCAACCTGATTTGTCCATGCATGCAGATTTAATTATTGACATTATTATCAGGAATTTAAATTATTATTATTAGGAATTATATTAATTCAGATATTTCTGGTAGTTTAAGTCAACTAAAACGTGTATGTGATAACAAACGTTAAACATAACGTTATTTCAAATTTGAACAAATTAGTCATTCACAAATAAGACAAATTTTCTTAAACCGAGCAGAATAAAACCAACACTGAAGACGCAGGTTTGTTATCTTAACATGTTAATCTATAGATGAATCCACTTCTTAGTTTATAAATAACAGTCACTAAATTTAACGAGCTTGTTCGTCACCTCTTCAGCACAGCAATGAATGCCTCTTTTGGCACTTCTATGCTTCCAATTTTTCTCATTTTCTTTTTACCCTCGGCTTGTTTCTTCAACAGTTTCATTTTTCTTGTGATATCTCCACCATACTGAAAATATAAATAGCTGAGAGTTATTACAAACACTTGGGGCCTGGGGGCTGTAATATAAAGTGTAACATGTTAAAGCAGTATGCAAATAAGATGATTACCGGGGTAATAAAAATCACAACAATCATGTCTCAGTTCAATTTTATACTACACAACTATGGTTGGAGCAATTTATATGTAACTCAAGTTGTACTTCACATGTAACTTACACATTTGGCGAGTACATTCTTTCTCATTGCTTTGATGTTTTCTCTCGCTACGATCCGACTACCAATTGCAGCTTGTATTGCTATCTGGTACAGTTGTCTTGGTATGGTTTCTTGTAACCGCTCACAAACCGCTTTACCAATGTCATGTGATTTCTCTCTATGTACAATTGTGGCAAGCTCATCAACAACTTTACCATTCAGTAATATATCCATTTTCACTAAATTAGCCGGTTCAAATCCTGCATCTTCATAATCAAAGCTGAAATATTCATAAATGGTAATCTTATCTTTCATAATCAGACCTAGTTAAGGAGTCAAATATCACTTTGCATATTATGGTGTAGTTATGGAGTCAAATCCAACCTAACATAATCAGATCTAGTTAAGGAGTCAAAAATCACCTTGCATATCATGGTGTAGTTAGGGAGTCAAATCTCACCTTGCATATCCTGAGGTTGCAGACTTCAACATATCATAGAAATCTACAACTATCTCATTTAATGGTAATTTGTATTTCAGCAAAACTCTCTTGTCATCAATGTAATTGAACTCCATCTGTTCACCCCGTTTACTCTGAAAAAAAAAATGTAAACAATTCAACAAACAGTTGAATATGCAACAACGTCTGTCGTTACTCCAGCTGTACTGTCTTTGTGCATACTTCGAGGTATTCTCGTAATAACCTCTTAGAATAAAAATTAAGTTGTTATGTTAGCTTAATTAATCAAGCCCATTGTAATGTATGAATTCAACAGCCTTTAATGATCTCCTTGTCAAACTACAGAGCTGAGAATTTGTATATTGTAAACATAGTGACAAATACAGTGTGAATGACCAGAGAAAGCCGCACTTTTCGTAAATACTCACCAGACAAAGACTGATCACTTTTCCAAGGTAATCATCAGGAGTGATAATCGTACCATGCACGATTGGTTCATAGTATTCACTAACTTTCTGCCTGTCTGGAAACTGTGAAGAGACGTCAATGTCACTAAACCGGTTGTATCTATTTCTTGCAAATCCCTATCCTTTTATCATATTTAATATTTACCAGCAGTTGGATAGCTAAATGCGAAAATCACAGGCAAAATGGAACAATATTCTTGCTTATTTTGTTGAAATCCAGTGAATATGCAAATCTAACAAAAATGAAACCAGTGAATTTAATATCTAGTGAATATATCAGCAACATCAAAACCACTAAATGTAAACAGAAAATAATTTCCTTTTATACAGTAACATTACATAATATAATTGCAGACAACAATACAATGGAATACTTTATTTTTGTTGGAATTAATTTTCTCTGAAAAAGCTTTTTGGGCATTTTGTATGGAATTTATTTTCACTATTTTTTGATGAGTTTAATGAGAAATATAGGAAAAAAAAGTATACTCTCGCTGGATTTTATTTTCACAGAATCATCCCTTCAGCGAAAATAGCGAAAATAAATTCCAAGCGAAAATAAAGTATTCTACAGTATATAGTTCAGATATAACAGCATATGATGTTAGATACACGTTTGATAATTAATATTTTTTGGGGCATAAATGAAATAAAGTATAAATGCATGTACTTCACATCAACATAGTGTAATAAGTACCAGTATGCCCACACCTCAGTTTGCTTTTACTTTTATCAGTTTTTGTCATTTTCTTCTGTATTCATTTGTTAAAATTAAAAAAAATTGATAATAAAAAAAAATACACCAGAGGTATGCACTCACCAGTGTGGGATTAGTAATAGTAATAACATCCACTTGTCCATAATCATGCCTGTTTGCTTTGGTGTTCAACAGTTTGGCTTTATATGGTACACTGGGAGACGTGACGATGACCTCAGCATTGTATTCCTGTTCCAATCGCTGGTTGAATACATCCATGTGAAGCAAACCTAGGAATCCCAGTCGCCAGCCTTGACCTAGCGCAGGACTAATGATAAACAGAAATATGTTGAATTATGAGTTGAAGCATCTAAGGTTGTTTGTTTGTTATCAATAAGTTTCATGATACAGGGTTAACACATGGTTACAGCAAAGTATGCATGAAGGCAATACGGCAACCAACTGACAAGTTGATGTTTTCCCATGCTGCCTGAATGCATACTTTGCAGCTTTCTCTTTTTTCTGTTTGTAGTAATACTTCAGTGAAAGATAATATCCTAAAGTGACAATGACAAATGTTTTGCGCTGTTTGAACTTGCGTTCAGTGACGAGATTCTATTTCTGCCAAACACTATGGCACCTTTGTGTCTAATCTAAACACAAAGTGTTCAAATGTGAAATGTTGGGGCACATAAGGAGAAATTGTGATGCTTCAAGGAATGCAGATATATTTTGAAATGAATGCAGATAGGGCTTTTTATGAATGGGTGAATTCTATTGTTTTCAGTGCGAAATGTACACTAATATTTTTTTTATTGCAATATCTTATTTCAGAGACAGTACTTTCTAATTTTACACACTTCATAGGAATTACTGAGAAAGGTGTCAATCACAACTAGCTGATGCACAGATTTAACAAACAAAGCAGCATCTTTTTCTGCTAACAATGACAAGTTATCAATACTGACAGACACACTGATGGACAGACCACAACAAAATTTTTTAGCTGGTAACACATACTAACCTGCTATCAATACTGACAGACACACTGATGGACAGACCACAACAAACCCTTTTAGCTGGTAACACACACTAACCTGCTATCAATACTGACAGACACACTGGAATCATTCAGGGTCAGTTTATCCACTGCACTGCGCAGTGACACATAATCAGATTTATCAATAGGGTACATTCCAGCAAAGACCTGAAAAACAGACAAATTGTAAACATAGCAATGGACGTAAATGACTGATTAGGTTGTGGAGCATCACCATACATGGATCATTTGCATAAAATCAAATCAAATCACTCAAGATATCAAAACAAATTGTTATTAAGCATACCACAGAGTCTTTACATAAAACTGACTTTGTTTCCAATGCGTACTACATACTACATACTACAGTCTCAGCCAATTGATTCCTTGCAATAAGAACATGAATTACTGACAGAGATTTAATTTTATTAAAGATGTTTTAATTCTGATTTCCTCAAGCAATAACTTCCTAATTTTGAGCATCAATGTAAATCTCACCATTGGTTTTGCTGGTTTGAAACCAGACAGTGGAGTGACTGCATGTTTTGCACTATATAATGTGTCGCCTATCTGGGCCTCTTTGATATTATGCATACCTGCAATCACATAACCGACCTGCCCCGCGTATCTGGAACAAAAAATGAAAACAAATATTGTTCGTTTCACATAAAGTGTTGCAAAGTTTTTATAAGCAAGGGTTATCAATTTACTAGTGGAATTGGAAACAAATCACAGAAATGAATATGAACCATTTGGGACAACATTATCTTTCAAAGTTCTGTCACATTAACGCAATGACGGTGATAGATGTTCAAATTGCATCATTGCGGGCAGTATTTGGCACAATAGATGTCAGTTTGTTAAATATATAATAGTTCTGCACATTTATTCTCATTTGTTTTGCTTGACAAGCTACAACCATGGATGCAATTTCCATATTTTACAACTGAGGCACAATTATATTTAAACCTACAAAGTAATGCTAAGTAGTTTATTTCAAAACAAATGCTATTTACAACATTATAAACTGACAGTGTGGAAGTTGGCGTTTGTTCAGGATGCATTATTCCGACTTCTTTCACATCATAGGATTTGTTGGTGTGCGCCGAGGTGATTTTATCACCAACACTCACACTACCATCCACCATTGCAATGTTCAATATCGCTCCCCTGTACCTATCATACCATGAATCAAACAGGAGAGCTTTAAGGGGATTGTCTCTGGAACCAACAGGTCTGAAACGAAAAAAAAGAGTTAATTTAATTTAATAATTCAACTTTCATTTTATTTCATGAACTAGTGCGATATTGTCAATATTTATCATAATCAAAACAAGATCAAATAATACTTCTAATTATACATAGATTAAAAGCCACAAACAATGTCCAAATAAGCCAAAATGTTACCCACAAAAATATTGATAAAACCTAAAATTTAATATCAGGTTCTTTCTAGTGAGATCATAATTTAGCACAAAATATAAAATGTAGATATTTTGGCTGTAAAATAAATGGCAATGATTGAGCTTATTTTTTTCTTTTGCTTTAGGGTTACACATTTCATACAACCTAACAACAAATTATTTATGTGACTCTTTCTGTGTAATCAATGTTAGTTGGAAAACAGCAAATTTCAGTAAACACAGCATTATTTTTATTGAGGGACGTCCGGGAATCAAAACAATATTCAGTTCATTTCTATTTGATTAAGATTACATTACTGTAATTAAGTTTTACTGAAATGACTTTTTGGGTGTTTTATATGGATTTTTTTTCACTAATTTTTGATGAGTTGAATGTAAAATGTAAGAAAAGATGTATATTTGCTGGATTTTATTTTTTACTGAATCATCCCTTAAGCAAAAATACCAGTACGGTAAGTTCCAAGTGGAAATATTTTTATAGTACATAGGTGGTCAATTAATAGATAGGTTCCATGCTTTACAACAAAATGTTAATGTGTATGTATGAAGCATTACGAATGCATGACATTATTGTATGAATTGATATAAACATACGCTGGCAGGGAGTCCACAACTTTTTTCAATACTTCATCGGCACCTGTACCAAGTTTGGCGGATACCTAGAATGCAACAATATCAATATTTATTTTACATATTTATAATATTTGACGTATTTGGTGTATTTTTCTGTTAATTTCTCATCTGAGGATTAAATACTGTTGTGTGTGAATCATTATCTGTACAAGTGCAATTTAAAAAAAAATTAAAATAATTAAACAATTTTCTTTGAAGAAGATTTTTTATTTAGGTTGTAAAATGATCATGGCTGAAGTACAATACATTTATTTTAATTTTACATATAAACCTTGCTCATATTTTGTTAAATAAGATCTGTGTAAATCCTCTAGATTAAAACCATGTTTGTATTGCTGTTTTGTTTTTTTCGTCATGCAAATACATATTCATGATGAAAATATGAATATGCACATGTACATGTTTGTGATGAGAAGTGCCAGTAGTTATTATGAACACAGACACTTCATATTCTTTATATTGTTGAGCAAAAAAAAAACTAAAAAAAAAAAAAATTTGGTAAACAATTTAAATTGAATCAACATACTGACAGACATCAAAATGAATTTTTCATACTTTATTATACGTTGTATTTCATCAAAGCCAATAAATTCAAAGGAAGAAATCTGTGTTAGTAGTTTCAAAGAAGTCAAGAATATATAACATCAACAAATATAACCAACACCTTGAAGGTAAATAATGAGTAGACATCTCCAAAAATTGTTTATACTCTGTTACCATGGAAACCAAAACTCAGACATACCTTGATGATCTCGCCTTCTTTGGTATCAAACAAGTTTTCCATTTGTACAGCAACCCTTGCAGGGTCTGCTACTTTGAGATCAATCTATGGAGATATTTATTAATTCTATCAAAGTCTAATCACATTACGAGATGCAATTTCCAAATACGAAATATGTAGTTTTATTTTGTTTACAATTTCCTCTCATTTGCATTCAGGTTTCAACATCATAGCAATCAAAACTTTCGTTACAGACTGTTCTCAAGTTCTCTAATAATCATTAGATGCAAACGTCGATGAGAGCAAGTTTAAATTGTGCTCCATTCCAGCCATTGTTTCAAATATCATAATTTAATTAGACCAGAACAGTGAGAAGAGAGAATAATCCATTATCTGATGAGACAAATCTGACGCGGCTCTCTCGCTCTCAACAAGATCTGTGCGAACATTTGCATCTAAGGCCTATTGGTTAACAAATCCTGTTAATGAAAGAAACATCATATACAGTAGGTTAAATAATAGTCAATGAATGGCTATTAAATTATCAACCATATTAATTAGACAGGTTCTGAAGGAGGATAACAACATACATACTCACTTTATTCATTACAGGAATAATAGTCAAACCAGCTTCAAATGCTAAATAGAAATTTGCTACAGTCTGCGCCTGTACACCTTGATTGGCATCTACCAACAGTATAACGCCCTGGCATGCTGATAAAGACCTTGATACTTCATAACTGAAATCAACATGACCCTGAAGAGGAAAACAAAATACATTTCTGGTGTTGGATATACGGAATGAACAAGATTTCAAATTCATCACAATCAAATTAAATAAACCTGTGCAGTAATTAATTAACCTTCATTTCATTTCATTTGGAGCAATTATTACACTCGTTAATAATTAATCTGACATTACAGATTCACATTTGAGATGCTGTCTATATATCTACACTTACTGGTGTATCTATCAGATTCAATAAATACGTCTTGTCATTATAGTTGTACAATATAGATGCAGTCTGCGCTTTCACTGTGATACCACGCTCCCGTTCAACTTGTAACTTGTCAAGTACTTGTTTGTTGTCTGTTTTACTTGATATGGTTCCTATAATTAATAAGTCAAACACACAGTATTACAAACTAACCAACTCTAACTAATAGTATCGCAGTGTATAATTGGAAAGGTTTGATTGGGTAAACAGATACGAGTGAGGTAATTGCTGTATTCAAAAACAAAAACATGTAATACGCACTATGTAGATAAAGCACTAAAAACAGCCAGGAATTAACATTAATAAATAGTTCTTATTTGCATAGTATTTACAGGAATCACAGTGTCTCTATCAAGGATAGAAGGATTGTATAACAATGTATATTGTGTTTTGCAATCATCTCACTATTCATGTGACTTAAAATTGGGGTTTTTAACACATATTACAACATAGCCCTGTGTACATGTCTGTTCTCAGACCCACTAAAAGGACAGACTAGTAACGTGGCTTTTTTTTTGGAGGGATATTTGAGTTTGTAATCCAATAAACATCTACCAATCGAAATAATACTTCTACAATATAATAACACGTTGTCTATTGTTATTTCACCTTATAACACAACAATGTCTTTCGTTTGAGAAAAGCTGTCTTTTTGATAGAATTTGTTGATCAGGATGATGACTATTACCGGGGTATGAATAGGGTGCTATTCTGGTAGACTTGAAAGAGTTGGGCAATAAATGTTCCTCCAATTTAAAAGGAAATGTTGATGATTTGCGTCTGAGATCGGTGTTTGTTAGCAAACTACATTGCTTTACATGTTCTAAAATTATAAAGAATTCAATTTGGCTCAATGAAGTTCCTATTGATTTTTAGATTCACGCCCAGAAGAATAGATTGTGGTCTATTGTAACCGGTGGCAGAGTGGCCGAAACAACAAACATGTACACAAGACTAATTATAATGGTATACAGTGTAAAACGTCTTTTTTGCTAGCATGTTATTTTAGCTAATTTAGCTAATCAGTAATTTCGCTAAATTAAGATGTCGCTAATTTAAAACAAAGTATATTCTCACAATGAGATTGTTGGCAATGAAGATTCTGTTAATTCTTGCCGCATTGAGTAAAATTTGCTAAAATGGCATGTACCTATTTCTATTGGTCATACAGTATTCCATCATACTACAGTAGAAATTTAATACACTTATTATGATACTAGCTATGCACTCACCTGTTATTTCCAGTAGTCTGTCCGCTAGTGTACTCTTACCATGGTCAATATGAGCAATTATACTGAAATTTCGAATATTTTCCACTGGAAATCTTGACATATCTATCTCCTAAGCAAAAACAAATGGATTTGAATTTTAATAAATGTAATGCACGCACACTAACTTAGTATCATAATACGAACAAGCGACCAACCCTCCGCCACAACCACAGCTATGCACAGTGACCATTAGCCCAGCGTACATGGACTGTGTCGATGGACAGATGATCCCCTCCACCACATCATGCACATGAGCTATACGTAGGGCTACATGTACACATACTATCATTTTTTGACTGCATTCTTTAAGACAGACCGGAAACAAGACAAAAACAAAAGATTTTTCAAGTTAGGGTGGGGGTAATAACGTTGCTAAGTATTATCGTCAGGGAAAGCTATTGTTTGAGCTAGTCTGTGATTGGTTGCTGGCAATGTTTGGAGGATTTTGACCAGTTTGTGACGTAGGCTTGACTTAGAGAATGCTACCGTATCAGAGACACTGATTAGATATATCAAAATACAACATGTCTGCTAATTAGCAGTACACTATGATAGCCCTGCATACAGTGCTGTGTGTACCTCCATAGACAAAGTCCGGTCACCCACCAGAGTTGGTGCGTACATTAAAAATAGATAGTTTCCCAGTCAAAATCAGTTGAAATGATGATATAGTTATCCATAACAACCATTACACAATTATCTGAAACTGAAATATCTTTAAAAAAACGACTAGCAAAGATGAAAAAATTGTAAACGCGTAGGTACCGAGGAATCATCCACCAAATACCACCATTTTTAATTTATTCAATCGTTTGTGTTTAGAGCAAACAAGGAGGTAATAAGAATTACCTCCATGGGGCAAAGTAGCTGATTTCGAACTGGGAGTGCTGGATATACGTGTTAATCAATCATCGTTTTTGGTACCTGGGCATGCTATTTCATTTCCGGACATTGTCT